ATCACAGATCATCTTGCTCATTACTAAACATATCATGGTTAATGTTATCATTTTATTTCGTTATCAGGGATCTCAGTCATAAATGTGCAAAACAGAACTCAGCATGCGAGTTCATGCGAATGTACCAGATTGTGCGAAAAAATATATATCTGAACACACGTGCGACTCTTCAATGTTCACTAGNCTGAAGCTCACATCGATTCGAGAATTCTTTGTTGGATTGCTGCCTGAAGCTGCATCGTGACATTTGCAGACCGCTACACTTTCAAACCAATAAAGTGTACCTTTTACCTCAACACAGATCATCACTACGTCCACCTATCTCAACAGTCTACTCTGCTCACGAGCAAAGTCCATTGTTCCATTCCACTTTAGTGCAGTGCGACCCTCATCGATGTGCTGCTACATTGTGCTTGTGAACACGTCGATGAGCCCAGTGGTTTACCGATCACGGTCACTAGCGCAACTTTGTTCTCACAAGAACCTGCTTGCTTATTTCATATCATTGAACAGCTGTATAAGACATAAAATCATTGAATGTCCACAAAGAATGACTAACAAAATGGTCAAATGACTACATTGCAAGAGTTATGCGGGAAGACTGGAATCACTGCAACTGTACTCCACACAGCATCGCCGTTTTCGAGGAGATTTGATCTTGGTATACCAAGTAATGCGGAACCCAGACCACCCATATCGTTCACTCCTTTCCTTGTCGCCCAAAACTCACCTGCGGAAGAATTCATTCAAATTATCGCTCCAAAAATGCCAACTAGAATGCCGGCGGCACTCATTCGCCCTCTGAGTGTGCACTACTTGAAATTCTCTACCACCACACCTTGTCTCGGCACTCACAATTAATTCATTCAAGCACAATCACCAGTCGTCTTCAAAATTTCACTCCACGGAACACTCTTATTCTTAAGCGTTCCGTTGGTGTCGTTTTTTCATCACTGACTTCCTACCTCGCTTTACGCAATGCAGTCAACTGGTTCACCGAAACAATCAACCACACCTGGAACCTATGCTGCCCTTCTAAAACTGTATTTGTCGGTACCGGCAGAATCGCATCTCCACTGTTGAAGTCATCCAAAAGACAGAAGGAACGATCGTACTACTCTAGAGACTCAGCAGCTGTCAAGTATGATACCAAACTGAATTAAGCTGATGTCAAACGCTTCTCAGCTTCTGCAATGTAAAAACAGTGAACACATTTGGCAAGAAATTAAATCACTGTGTGAGACGAAATATGAAACGACGGATTGTACAACGGACTTGGACAATTTATTCAGCATTCATTCACCCGTCAAGCGATGTCATTACGCCATTTCTTCTGGACGATGCCGTTCAAGTAGAGCCCGTCTCGAAATAAGAAATATTTGAGCTTTTGCTTAACGGTAAAACTGCGTACAGTCCGTAGCTAGATAGTCTTTCATTTTCCCTCTGATATATTTCGCCTATTATCATGGTGAAATGTTTGCATAATTCTCAACCATTCCTTAAATACCTGCTCCATACCAGAATGCTGCAAACCGGTAACAGCTGTTCTCATTCCCATATCCTGTACTTCAAACGTTCTAGCCAAATGGTTGTTGCGTTAACCTCTTTTGGGTTTCAGCTAGCAGAATGTGTTGTTTTTAAGAATATTCAGTACTCCCTTCATAACCCATATGGTTCTCTCAAATTGTTGAACAAATATTCGGAGTATGTGCATGTAAAATATCAACCCAAGTATGCGTTTCCGATTTTGTTCTGAAATAAAATTCTTCCAATGACTTCATGCATATGCTTTCATGATCGTACACCGGATTCTATTTTGAAATAATTACCATTTTTAATGTAGAGTGGCTAAAATGAATCGCGCATACATATTTCCTTACTCAGTTTTGTGACAACCAGAAAGGATAAATGACTCACTTCTGGTGGCATATAGGACCACATTTGTGGTTGCGAAAAACAGATTATTGCTCGCTTTCGGAATGTGTGGATTCACCGAGCAAAAGACTTCCATCGTGATCGTAACAGTTTTCGCAAGGGCGTTATTGGGGAAATCGAACTGCTCATGGAACTCCACGTCGGCAAGCAGCTTCCAGTTCTCCCCAAAATGCCGCGACCCAGTCTTTAATGCGAACATTGAAAGAACACAATTTCGAAATGTGCACATATTGTGTTTCTCTAATGATGATTACAATAAGCTGAGACCATTCACCGTTTCATAGAAAATAAATGCTTTTCGAAAGAATGAGTGAACCGGGATGATATCGCAACTGGTTTGTCAGACAATAAAAAACACCCAATTTCAAAAGCGAACACAAATTAATGAGCACATTACACCAGTTCTTGCCTCATCACTCTATTCTGCCTAAACATACACGATCCTTTATTCGAACCAACCAAGTGAACCTCTCATATAAGTCACTTCGTTACAAATCACGCCAACGCTTACTACTAAACATTCTGTCACCAACCGCACACTTCATTATAATCTGCTCAAAATCAAACCTATGATTGACCAATATATACCAAATTTTCTCTACTCACTTCAAATGCCGGTTTCCACCAGCGTAATCTTTCCACAAACAATTAAACTCTAATAAGGAAGCCTCTCAAAATCCCTGCTGGCTGCTTCCGTTTCAACACAAGTCGTTTGTAAAAGGTGACCTATTTTGCAAACGTGTAAAACCGAGTTTTGACCTTTGCTGTATCGTGATGAATATATTTCCCCATCATCCTTGTGTATCAACAGCTTGTCTCAAGCGCTTACGTTGTGAAAAAGAACATGCATAGACAGTTGAAATGTAAACCCTGTGTTTTCTAATACGGTATGAAATAAGAAAGTGGGACTCTTTATATGTAAGTCACTTTCTGTGACGAATAAGTGATGTAAAATCAGAAACCTCTGCAAGCAGTAAAACTGATTTCCAGTTCCTTAGCAGTTAATATAGATTCCTTTATCGTTGGATACATGCTCCATTTATTAAACCTGCGGAGGAAATCACCTGTCTAAAACACCAAATCGCAAGGATGCAACTGCGAAAGGTTTTCAACTTGCTCCGGCTTCCACTGATTTGAAATTGATGGAACGGTCATTTATGTATCAACCTCGTTTGTTTCTCATCACCCCCGATAATATCGCTCTGTTTGCATAAAAATACACCGGATACCGTTACGTATCTAGGTTCCTAAACAAAAAAGGCATTTATGTGTATTGTGCATTTGTTGATTATACTTCTGTTTTTGACTCACTGGTCCGGTATCTTTTACTTAATAGCTTCCATCGTTTGAATGTCTCAATGCTCATTTTGCATAGACTGTTGATTACTTTTCGTAAAGATATCTCAGTGTTAAATTGGGACGAAGACAGCCAACGGCCTCACTCTATGGTCTGA